CTGGGGATCGAGCCTGCAACCCCTGACCAAGAATCGAACCCTGACCTCCTGGTTTATAGGTTGACACTCAACCACTGAGCCACACTGGCTGGGCAAAACACAATTTTTTAAGGCAAGGAGACTGTTGTCCCCGTTGACACTCAACCACTGAGCCACAATGGCTGGGCAAAACACAATATTTAAGGCAAGGAGACTGTTGTCCCCGCGCTTCTTTCAGAAGCTTCATCATCATTAAAAGAACTCAGTGCCCCTCGGACATCGTGCAGAAACTCTGCAGTCACAGCTTTGAGAGGGTCTGGGCATCTCACACCTAATTGGGCAGAGACGGAGCTGTGGACAGAGCTGTTCCCGTCCAGCAGATGCAGTCATAAAACTCAGCAGGTTTCCCATGCTCCTTATGTGGATGGAAGGATTGTAAAGACTATATACTAGTAGTGGAACCTCGGTTCTCGAACTTAATTCGTTCTAGAAGGCTGTTCAAAAACTGAGTCATTTTCTCCTGTTAGAAATAATGTAAATTTAATAAATCTGTTCTAGCCCCCCAAATGATTCCCTGTTTTAACTTTCTTATATACAGTACATGTCTAATATATTTTTATAAATAAACACTTTAACAGGTGACCAAGAGACATATGAAAAAATGCTCAAAGTCACTAAAATCAGAGAGATGCAAATTAAAATGACAATGAGGTATCACCTCACACCTTTCAGAATGGCTACCATCAACAAATCAACAAATGACAAATGCTGGCAAGGATATGGAAAAAAGGGAACCCTAGTAGACTGCTGGTGGGAATGCAGACTGGTGCAGCCATTATGGAAAACAGAATGGAGTTTCCTCAAAAAATTAAATATGGAACTGCCATTTGATCCAGTGATCCCACTTCTAGGAATATATGCTAAGAAACCCAAAATACAAATCAGAAAGAATGTATGTACCCCTATGTTCATAGCAGCATAATTTACAATAGCTAAGATCTGGAAATAGCCTAAGTGCCCATCAGTACATGAGTGGATCAAAAAGTTGTGGTACATTTATACCATGGAATACTATGCAGTAGTTAAAAGAAGAATCTCTTACCCTTTGAGACAGCATGGAGGGACCTGGAGAGTATCAAGCTAAGTGAAATAAGTCAGAGAAAGACAAGTATCACATGATCTCACTCATATGTGGAATCTAAGTAACAAAATAAACTGATAAATGGATTGAATCCAGAGACTTGAAGCACAGAACAGAATGTGGAATCTTTGGATGGAAGGTGGGGGAAGGTGAGTGGGTGGGAGGTAATCAACCAATGACTGTGTATGCATTTATGCATGGCCATGGACACAGATAATGGGGCAGTGTGGTCCTGGGGCAGGGCTGGGTCAGTCTGGAGATGGTAAATGGGGGGAAAAAGGAGACATAGGTAATACTTTCAACAATAAAGAATTATTTTTAAAAAACATATAAACACTTTAAAAACAAAAAGGACATGAATTGTAAATGAAAATTTAACAAAAAAGAAATGAAATATATAGTAAAAATTGAAAATCCTATATAATAAAGAGGTAATATGTAAATTGACTGTCACGCCCTTGCACAAGATGGCCGGCTGGGGAGGGCAGTTGGGGGTGACGTAATAATAATAAGCAGCAACAAAAGCAAAAAAATCACAAAAATATTCACAGAACAATTTCCTGAGGTGTTAACAACATGAGGTTTAGCAGTAAACTGACTCATACTCGCACATTCGCTCCTTTGTCACCCAAGAGTCACGACTGATCATACAGGTGTCAGCATGAAAGGCTTGTCAAGGTAAGAGCCAAATTGTTCACAATGGGAGATGTTCGAGAACCAAGGTTTGGCTATAATTGAATGCTTTTTTCTATTTGTAGTATAGTTGAATTGAGTTTAATACCACCTTGTTACAGACTCACTGAAAGTTGCCTTTTTATTTTTGATGGTGGGAAATAAGGCTTAACTGGAGAACACCATGAAATGGTGGCATCAACCACATTTCTAAGGGGTGGTCAAGGAACAAGGATATTTTGGAGAGAAATCAAACTCCCAGTACGTCATACCTTTAAACATTCATTTTTCCTAATTATAATAAACCAGGCTGAACAGCTCATTGGTACTAATTATTACACCAAGCGGACCTGTTAGAAAAATTACCACAGCGTGTAAAACAGTCACTTTTTAATTCAGAATGGTTTGAGGTAAAATGCTATTATTCAAATAGCTTTGACAGGGAAAGTGTTCTATAAAAAGATTTCACAACCCTGAGTTAGAAATCGTTCCCTCTGTGACTCTCAAGGAGAATGCCTGCCTGGTTGTGGAAACAAACTCTGTTGCACAGTTACATGTTTATGCTAATGGCCACCCTTCAGAGTGGGCAAGGGTGGAAGGAACACTGCTTCTTTCTCAAAGCAGCCAACCCTGAATTATGCAGCCCCAGTTCAGCTAACCACTGGCTATGGTGTCGGTGTGCAGCAGCCCTATGCAAACTGGGTTAATAATTTTGAGAAGGCCCGTCCCAGGCCAGAATCCCTAGGCGAAGCGGCTGTGTTGGTGAGAGGGCTTGGCGAAGCTCAGAGCCATTCGTGTGATTTCCCTCTTTCCTCTGTGGCAGGGGTCCCTAACCTGGGGTCTGTGATGGCATCAGGGAGTTTGGAGGCTGGGATAGGAAACACACGCCGGCATTATTTTTTACGCACTTCTAACTAACTTAACACGAAAGTGTGCGTATGTGCGTGCCACAATCCATAGTGGTATGGGTGGTACTTACGACTTCTCACCCACAGAAACCACAGATTACTAGGAATACTGTCTCCCCCTCATGACGTAGAGTTATTGCTATTAGGCCACCTGATAGAGTCTATGAAATGTGTTCATAAAGAATCACATGCAAGCCTGGCCAGTGTGGTTCAGTGGTTGAGTGTCAACCCATAAACCAGGAGGTCTCTGTCCCGTATGGGTGGTACTTACGACTTCTCACCCACAGAAACCACAGATTACTAGGAATACTGTCTCCCCCTCATGACGTAGAGTTATTGCTATTAGGCCACCTGATAGAGTCTATGAAATGTGTTCATAAAGAATCACATGCAAGCCTGGCCAGTGTGGTTCAGTGGTTGAGTGTCAACCCATAAACCAGGAGGTCTCTGTCCCTCCCAGTGGTTGAGTGTCAACCCATAAACCAGGAGGTAGGTCTCTGTCCCATTCCTAGTCAGGGCACAGGCCTGGGTTGCAGGCTTGATTCCCAGTAGGGGGCATGCGGGAGGCAGCCGATTGAGGTTTCTCTCTCTCCCTCTCTGAAATCAATAAAATAAAAAAGAATCACATGCAGAATTGTTTGAAGTATTTTATGAAGTATTTCCATTTCCATGGAAAACAAGGAAAGATTCAGGAGCTGTCACATAACCAAGACGACTAGAGAGACGTGACCACTCTGTGTAATGGATGCCCCATACTGGCTCTGGGAACAAAAAGAAAACAGTCATGAGAACACTGGAGTAATTTAAGTAACATCTGTAATTTAGTTCCTAGTAATGTGCCAATGACGGTTTCTTAGTCTTGACGGGTGTACCATGGAAACGTAGATGGTAGCAGAGGCTATTCGAGAACTCTCTGTACCCTTGCTGCTGCCGCTCCCAGAGAAGTGTAGAGTGGAGGTTTTGTGTCAGCTCGGGCCTCTTCCTGATCCAACTCCGAGGAACTGTGGGAAGGGAGCAATCCAAAAGTAGGGAGAGGTTTTCCAGGGAAGCAAACTAACTTGCAGTGTATTATGGTGGGACAGGCATGCCTTTGGGGTCAGAGGCCAGGGTTCATGTTCTGTCTCTGTCCCCAGCCTTGTGCTCTGCAGCCAGGAAATGGCTGTGGACTTCCTCTTCCCCCTCGCAGCACGCAGCCATCACCAAGTCCTTGGCAGGGTCATCGTGAGGACTAAAGATAACGTGCCCGGCAGGGAGCCCTTTGGTGCCTATTATATGCCATGCTAAGCATTTTTCATACATTATCTAGTTTAATTCTCCTAATACCTGTATGACATGACCATTTTATAGCTGTGGAAACTGAGGGTCAGAGGCTCAATGACCTCACTGCCCAAGGCCACTAGCTGAGCTGAAATTCAGATTAGTGCTGACTAGTTCATGGACGTCCTGTGCCTTCCCTGACCACCCGACAGACCTGGTTGCAGGGTGCTCTTTGCTGTCTCTGACTTCTGAACCCCCTCTTGTTTGTTTGGCACAACCATCCCCATCCCATTGCCTTCCTCCTTCTGACACTGCTGCCCATGTGGTTGGCTTCTCCCGACTTGAGGTTGTCCAGCTGGAAAGTGCGGGTGTTGGGCCGAGCTCAGGCCTGTCCCAGTGTGGAAGATTTGTTCTCGTTTCGTGATGTTTAGCTGCTTGTTTCAGCGGTTTGGTGGGATGATTCCTAAATCACTGAAGCCAAAATTTTTCTCATTTGTTGTGAGCGAAGTTAGGCATTTCTATGTCATTCTCCCAGATTCCAGAGAAGGAGAGAGAGAGAGAGAGAGAGAGAGATAGAGAGAGAGAGAGAGAGAGAGAGAGAGAGAGAGAGAGAAGCAGAGCTCTAACTCTTCGTGACCTTTTAAAACTACAATAATTTTTTTAAAAAAGAACATAGCAGAGGCCACTGTGACATTGATCTCTTCTTTGATTGGGATTTTGTTGAGGGATTACTCAAAAGGATATGGGAGTACTTTTATTTATTTTGTTTCTTTCTGTGATTAGAGAGAGGAGACACCATGTGTCACCCTGTAGTGGCCAATTATTTCCAATTAAAGTCTATTGAAAGGAAGGAGAAAGGTAATTATCAATATCAAAGCTTATTTGGACAAGTGAGTTTAGCCATTAGAAGCAGTTATTCGGTAAGGAGCCGGATTCCCACAAGTGGCATGGGCGCTCACATCTGTCTCGGAATGAGGAAGCCACGCGCTCGGTGAGGTGGCCTCCGAGGACCTTTGATCCCATGGTGTGCTCTTGTGTTTCAGTTTTTCCCCTACATCCTGTTGCTGGTCGCCATCCTCCTGTACCTGCCCTCCCTGTTCTGGCGTTTTGCAGCTGCTCCGCATATTTGCTCAGATTTGAAGTTTATCATGGAAGAACTTGACAAAGTTTACAACCGCGCCATTAAAGCTGCGAAGAGCATGCATGACCGCGACCTGAGAGATGGGACCTGCTCAGTTCCTGGTTCTAATGAGAACGTAGGACAAAGGTAACTTAGTCCCCTGCAGGTACCAAGTCGGGTTTTGTCGTACACACATTGTCTGCCCTTTTCCTGCCCGTCTGGGCTTTGGATTCCCATTGCCAGTAGATGGGAGGGGGAGGGCCAGGAAGACTTGATCTCCTTAAATCTCACCCCTACCTGTATGCCCCAGCATCTGTCCTCACATCAAGAGTCCTCTCCTTGTTGAGTGAACCATCACTGTTTCACTGGAAGAGGTACAGGTTAGGGCACGAGGTGTGGCTCACTTGCTTTGACCTACACCTTAATGGGGGAGCACGGAGGATTCTGAGGCCTCTGAGCTTAGAAAGCAGGAGTGAGAGAAGGGAATGAGTAGGCAGTGCCTTGCCTTTTTTACATTCTTCCTCTGATTTTTTTTTAATTTTATTTTTTATTACAAAGGGTATTACATATGTGTCCATTTTCCCCCCCCGCCCTAGACAGTCCCCTAGCTTCCCCTATCCCCCAGTGTCTTATGTCCATTGGTTATGCTTATATGCATGCATATAAGTCCTTTGGTTGATCTCTTACCCTCCT